ATCCACTTGCAAATCAACAAAAATCTGTTGGCCCTCAGATAAAAAGTTTATGAATGACAAAAATTTTGATGGAGCCCTACAAGGAACTGAGAAGATCATACAAGAAGCATTCATATCGGTTGCTGACAACTTCCTCAGCAACCAAGAAGTGCCCAACTACTCAGCTTGTTGAGCAAAGTCTTGAAGCCTATAGATTGAATTGGTACAATACGTCACTGAATACACGCATCCTTCATTCTTGCTTGGATTTCTTTCTGAAAACCTTGGAGACATCAGCGACAAATGAGGTGAAAGGTTTCACCAGAATGCTTCTAAAGCTACTGGTGTGTTTGCTGGCAGCTCACAAGAGAAGCTCCTGATATGTACAAGTGGAAAAATATTAAATGCCAATTTCTAAAATACAGCGTTACACTAAATGAAAGTGGAACGAATTTTATCCTTCCATATTTCATGTTTCATATTAACCTGAATAAAAGTAAATAGATATTTATTATTAAATTTCCTATGTCAGCTGTGAAACATTACAGGAAATAAAAGTGACTACAGAATTTTTCTTGCCAGATTTGGAATCAGTGGCTCAGAATCTATACATAGCATCAAAATATCACTCATGATGCAAAAAGAGTTGTCCAGCAATAATTTATCTACACATCGACGAAGTCTTCACCGGATTTTATGGTGGTCTTAAGGGTTGATCTGTCTGCTGTTAGCCACTGGTGGTTTCTGCAGAGACAGGTATCAGAATCTGTGGTTAAAAATGATAGTTTAGCTCCTTCCAACATCAGCTTGATATTCTGGTATGCTGCACATGTACACACACTGTGTGCTCCGCTTGCTGCAGCTAGGATGCAGTTCTTAGCGTGCACGGCAGCAAATTTTGAAACCCTATTTCCAGTTCAGAATGACATGGCTTAAAATGCGGGTACACTTCCTTTCCATTGGTAAGAACTAGTCTCTTCTGTTCATTAGTTATATTTCCACTAGCCTTAAGAGTTACAAAGTCACTATTAACTGTCATCACTCTGCTGACATCATCAGTACAGCAGAACATGGTATCCATATTGAACGTGGTAGCCAGCGCAATCAGAGCAAGCATGGTAACAAAGGCAAATATACTAACCATGGAAACCATGACAATTTTGGTAAAGACAAGTTCAGAGAGTGTATCCCGTACCAGAATACACATAATCACAAATCATCAAATGTCACTGAAATGAAGTCAGACTGAAAATTGCACTTTTGTGTGTTGATTTAGCACCGAATAACCCATGAAGGTCATAGTGATACTTCAGATGCATGGATATTCACCAAAGTCACATTCACAAGAAGCAATAATTTAAATTAAGAGTTATGTTACATACTCTAAGGAGTTGCATCAGGCCTGCAGACGTTGCTTTGATGGCTCAAATCTTGATCACTGATTATTGATAAACCCTTCCAGTGATGGTCATTAAGTAGCTAAATAATTATATTCGTATACAACTGAATAACCCCCAGATCATGTTGCAAACATACAACTGCTACATAAATCCCTCTTTTAAATTAGAAAGAGATGTCACCAAATGGAACATTTTTATACAGCATACATAATTGGACAGTCCTAAAATTGTAATTTCTTATGCACAATCATCAGATAAAAACCTGTAAGTCAATATGAATCTTAACTACAGTACTTTCACTTTTGATGAAGCAAAAATGAACATTTCACAGAACGTTAATACAGTAAAGTACTTGAAACATTTCACAAATTCACAGAACCTTACTATATAAACTAATTTCTAACAGACTGATCATATTATATGCAGAAACATGCATTAAAATCTAGCACTCAGATATACAGACTTACCACTTGCTATAATTCAACAAGTAATTTTTATTCAATGTTGACAAGAAATTAACCTTACGCAGCAGCAAATAACAGAATGCTGCTTCTAACTCTAGTTTGGTGGAGACAAATCCTTCAAAGCAGTGTCGATTTTCAGGGAAAAAATACTGGGCTGACAAAAACAGGGCTGCCATCAGGCCTCACAAAGCTCGTGCTACCCATAAATTAATTATGGACCTTCTCTATTATTTTCTTAATATGAATTTTTAACAAAATATTATATCAGAATCTTTCAAATTCCTGTCCAAAAGCCCTGAGTGAACTAGCAAAAAATCAGCACTACTTTGTGGCATATTCCCAGAACAAAAAAACAGCATAGCATACCTTGAAATAAAACTGTAAAAATGTATGGTTTCAAAATCTTATCCTTAGGTAAATTAAAACTGAATTAACTCTGAACAAATTGTAATACAAATGACACAGGTGCATCTGCAAAATCCAATGTAACTAAGAAAAAATTAACCGTTGACAAAAAAAAAATTGATAAACTTGTTTCAGTAACACTGGTGATGATGAAGTCTTCAGGTTGAGACAATGACATTACAACAGCTGTAAGATATTAAATACTTGGGAGGTTCACAAGGAAATCCTTAAATCATCTTACATTTAATCACAACAGTAGTTTGTGAACACAATGTCCTTATCTGCAGATCGTAGCCAAGGTGTCTAAGTCAAAAGGCCTACCAACTTCTATTTTGCTCTTTATGTACAATTTAGTTAACTGACAAAACAACATGATGAGCAAGGATGGAGCCCTTCTCTTACTGCTATTGAGAACTATAACATCGCTTATCAGCTCCACATGTTTCAAGGTTAAATCTGATAACAGACCAAGGCTGTTTTGTCACATTACGATGCAACAAAGAAAGCTAGGCTTCTAATAGAGCAATTAATACAACCACAACAAATTACTAACATTGCGAATTTAACAAGTATAATGCCCTTTTCTTAAAAACTAGTTTCACTCAAAATCGTTTGGCAATTAAAGTTGAAGGGAAACAAAATTTTGATACAGCAGTCCATCCAAGAATAATTACCACAATGTTATGTGAAGAGTACAATAAGCACTCGTATTAAAATGAGCATACGTACGAAAATGTTTGTAACCTTAAACGAGAGGACTGTGTATAATGCTTTTCGTCTCGAGTTCTAGATGGCCAGATGCACTGCAGCTGTCTATTTGTATTAAACTTGTTCTTCGTACACGAGAGAACAAAAACGGATATTCGTTCGAATATATAGCATCAATGAACAGACACCAAATCCTTAATACACAGATTCGACTTTACAGACAAGATGCTTTAAGGATAAGTTTCAGAAACAAGCATATATGAAGCTACCTAACGTACCTTCGTTTTCGTTACAACATGTGTCGCTAGCTTCACAACCGCAAAATTTCCTTTTCCAATCGTCCGTTCTAATTCATAATAACCAACTCTCACTAGTCTATCTGCGGTTAAATTTTGATTTCCAGAAGCACCTTTACTCCGAACAGATGCCATTTTCACTTTTCCGACGATTACTGTCGACTGTCTACTAGTTCGGTATAGTTGTCGCTAGAGTGCTAGCTTACAACCGCTAGTGAACAATCGCATCATACATTTCCATGCAGCGCTCGATTCGATTCTAGTATCGAACTACAAAGTATTACGCGCGTGCATTGTTCCACAGTGTATCTTCCTACTCACTAAATATGGAATGCCATTCGCTTATATTTTGTTGTAAACATTATTACTAATATTTTTGTTGTGATCCACTTGACACTGTCAGTAGGTCATATTATACAGCACAGAATGACAAGGTGATTTATGAGCAAGTGAATGGTGTCGAGGGTGCGGTCATGGCTTAATTTTAGGCATTTTCCTGACATTGGCTTGGAAAGGCTGAGGAAAAATACAAGAAATATCAGTCACTATAACCGGACTCCGGGCAGAAAGATATTGCTTATTTTAGTAAAATATTTTATTTTGTTCTTTTTCATGTTTTTGTCTATTAGTCTATTAGTCATAGACTATTTGGTATTGGACAGAGCTATAATAAAGGAACCTAATTGTGCAGAAGTGTTATTTCTCGAATCATCATTATCAGAAATGTTATCATTAACATCACCTTTACATGTAATTCGGTAAGCGTTTTCAGGTAATTGAAACTGTATATGGAAACGCCTGCGAAGGTCTTCGAATGCCAACACCGTCTTAATGTGGGAAAAATTAACGTTTTGTGATCAGACTTACGAACGCTGAGAAGCTACACCACAAATGCTTCGGTTAGCATCTGATTGTTTGACGGATACCGTAGTAACGAATTTACAAATGTTAACACATACGAACCTGTCCCCCCCCCCTCCCCACCTACCCATAAATCATGTGATTGGTCATTCTGTTGGATAAGATTTGAGGTTTCAACGGCGCCCGCCATTTTAGGGGCAGCCTCGACTGGCGTGCTGATGAGCAGCCCTACTCGGTCAGTCGTGGGTGACGTCATTCAGTCCTTGGTCGACACTAGTACCTTCCAAGATGCAGCGAATCAGCTAACTTCGAGTCGAAACTCTCGGTTCAAGCTTTGATGTGGCCCGCGAAGAATGGAATCCCCAAATCCTCCTGAGTTTTTCCTGCGAGGACATGCTAAGAAAACTCTTGCATGATCTACGGGCCGGTTCCTTACCAGCCCACTAAGAGACCTCGATGGCCTTGGCATTGTGGTGGTGAAGGACTTCGTCATATCGGGGCATCTGACTCTACGCCCTGCATTCAACTCAGATCACCTGCCTGACCCAGGTGCTCCAGTGTAAACGACGAACACCTTTCGGGCCCCTTGCTTGTCGCCAAACCCTTGTTGTTCATTCTGAGCTACTGACAACGTCGTTAAGCAAGCCACAAATACAGAAATAAAACACTGGAATAATAGCAGGCTGTGGGAGGGGTTTTCTAAAAATATAAAGAAGGCCTCGACATTTTTTTCCCCCTTATTCGGCCAGAACTGGGACCAGCAGAATGTCTCAATTCTCTGGCCATGGTCGAGTCGCTCGTTCCACATGATTATTAGTCATTTAACACAAGGACACGGCTGGCTCGCCGGTCGACCTCATAAGTCTGTATGAACGTATCACACATGCGTTGTTTACAGTCTTATCTTACGATGTTGTATCAACTACTGAGCCTTTGCATTATTATCGAACGAGAGATATGATAGGATAGACGATAAATTTGGAAATACCGAGGCTGAAACGACCTTCACACGTATAAATATTCGTAATAGCTACTGAGACTGAAAGAAAATTCAGATGTGTCAAGTTACAGTTGCTCGGATTCGGCTGGGATATGAACCGGTTACCACTGACAGCGATTTTTTAATGTATAATTAACATTGGCACTAGATACGAGTGGTGACTGCAAACCTCTGGCCACCTGCGTTCTCTGATCTTTGCTTGTTTTAAGGTTTCGTCACAGAACTGTCCTGGGTGTAGCGAGAAAGAAATCGAATCTCAGTTGTCGATTCCTACTCCCTGTCTTTAATCGATTATTATCGCAAACGACAGAATAAAAAGAGAACGGACAAAACAGATAAAAAAAATTGATTTATTCAGGTAAACAGCATACAGTGACCCCTCCTTAACTTCTTACTTCTTATCTTATCAATGAGCGTGCAATTTTCAAATGAGGTTACTCCTTTGGCGGACACCAACAAACTATACGTGTCTGTCACGCAACATACGACACGTGTGCATTTTTAACAAATGAAGAAAGCGTACGGAACATGTCTATCAACCTCTGAAATTGTTTGTTTCGCCTGAATTGGTGCTATATCAAAATCAATTTGCATATCGCTAGTGCTGCCCTTGATTTTAATTGGTTTCCTGTCCTTTGGCTCCAAGGCTCGGTTCTCTCTTAACCTCATCTTTTCTTAAGAAAGATAAGTTGATTTATGACATCGCCATATTGTGTACGTTTTCAAATTTTTCGATCAGTTGACCGATTTTCACGAAATTTTGTACGAACGCTACACCTCTCAAGACCACTGACCTACCGTCATGATATAAAACCTAAACTATCTTATGCTTCTGTGTGAAGTTGTCATTAAAATCGTTGGATAATGAAAATCGAAATGGCTCGACAATTTTCGTAAAATTCTGTAATATCAAATGTCTGCCCGTTCTCAAAATATTCCACGCGTATTTTAATAGGACCCCCGTAAGGTTGCAGAAGATTTTGTATTACAGAGTGACCTCCAATACCTTTGAATTGTCATCGGAGTCAGTGGAGCTGTTATCGAGTTGAAGCATGCGGACGGACACAATCATCCCTGCGTGCGCTTATTACATTTTGTGCATCGTACAAAGAACGAGTAACAATTCAAATATTTCCATGGTGCACGTGGCTGGTTGCCGTGACAACGCGCCACAGCGTGAATGGAACGCATCTCATCTGTCAGCTGTCCTATAGGAGTAGGGAGTGGAGGAGTGGGGTTAGGTTAGGTGGGGGTGGACATGTGTGTTGGAGAAGAGGGTAGGAAACAGGGAGAATTGAAGAGCGCCCTCATTCACAGGGTCGATTGGCGTTCGTATTGACACGTCATTTGCCGTTTTAAATATTTCATCACGATTATATACGTGCGGTTGAAGATACTCTAAACGCTTTGTCTGGTTGAAGAAAAGAATATCTAAAGTGCATTGGCACTTTGCGAGAAGCGTGTACTACGTCGAAGTTTGAGGTAAGTCTAGTTTGTTTTTTTTGTATCGACTTACGAAGTATCGATTGTAGATCGATAGAAATGTCTGCTTGAGGACGTGACCGGCGTCCTGCTCGCTGGTAGCGTAGACGGCGTTGACAATTTTTCGTTTTAGGTTATAAAATGTGCAAACAGGCATACTATAGAGCAACACGAAGAACTATCCAACAGTGGCCCATCTGTTGGCAGCCAGTTGAACCATTTTGTAAGTTATCAAATTAAGTTTTGTGACTTAAATTACGTAATATCGAATGAGACGTGGTGACGATTATGGATTTAAGAGCCATTTGTATTGATGAGGGCTGAAAGTTATGGGTTTATAGCCCTATTGTCAAATAATGTATGTGGATATCAAAATTCATTTCGAAAATAAGTCAATTGTGAAGGTAGATAAAAGAAACGTAATTTTTATTAATTTTAAACCGCCTCTCCTACAAAATGAAACACACCGTTGCTGACATTAAACTTTGAGGAGGGGGGGGGGGTCTGAACTAAGTCTGAGGTAGATTTGGGGCCGCGTTGGCATACCTCTTCGTTACAAATGAACGCGTCGTTGCGAAGTCAAACCCCTCTGCGTGTTAATCGTTTTACAAGCATCACTAAAAAGACAGACAATGTTACTAAGGCACTGCTTATGAAGTTGAATTCCCCTGACATGAGTTGAGTTCTTCGGGGTTAGCCACGAGATACGATGATTTCATTGCGATGAACCGCTTGATTAAAATATTTCATTAACTTTATAGCAGGAAAACTGATTCTGAGCTCATACAATGATCTGCCGTGGGCACCGGGAGACATATTTTTATTAACATTCAGGTTCATAATAATCCGTGGCGTAAGAGCCCTCTGAGAGCCAAAGCCGAGTAGCTGGCTTATGGCCTCACGTTCACGATCATCCAACCAGATACAGGGTGACGTGTGGTCAGCACGACGAACCCCCAGCCATTGCTAGCTTTCATGACCGGATTAAGCTAATTATCGTAGCTCCCCAATTTCCTCACGATGCTGGGTTGGCACCGGTCCCATACACTGGTCGAAAGCTCATGAGAAATTGCTTTCCCCGAGACTCGAACCAGCGGGCATTCATGATGCCTCAGACCGCGCAAGACATTCAGGTTCATAAGGTAGCTAATTTCCTTTCCCCGCCAATAAGGGTAGACTGGATCACGCACTAAGGGCAGTTCTCATTAATAAAATCCCTTCGGGCTATCAGACGTGTCAAATGGTTACAAATTATCGACGTTTCAGGGACCATCTCTGTCTTCAAGGGCCATGATGTATCCCCGCATACATGAACGGGACAGTTACATTACAGTCCTGATGAAGGGGAGAGTATGGTTCCTGAAACGTCGGGATAGGCCATGAAGATTTTATTAATGTAAGTCGCTGTGAAATCTTTCCGTCATATGCAACAGAAGTTGTCAGACCACCTCCATAGAGTAAACCTATTTTCACCACAGGAAAATTTGTGTATGATTTTGAGCGAAAATGGCGGGAGATTTGGTTACCATGCATTGGTATAACTGACAAATCGCAGAACTCAGCCTCCCCGAGTAACTTAAACGATTCGACGGCTAAAATTGTTCAAAATACATTAATATATATGCGATATACCCAGTTCACGAGCGCTTATGATGTTCTAAGCAGTCCGATAATTTATGTTTTTTTATGTTATAAAACCGTATTTTATAAAAACTCTTCCTCTCACCAAATTTATTAACAAAATAGTAATTTTACTGCTGTTT